GATTTTGAAAGTCTGACAGTGTTGAGCACTACTGTAAGGTTAACCCTGCATGGTGTAAATGTTTGAAAATGATTAATAGTTGCAAATAAACATTCATTAGAAATTTAGAAACGTAATCAAAAAGTAATCAAAAGTAATGTTACATTACTTTTATAAAGTAATTGAAAAAGTTACACTACTATTACATTTTAAATTTTATCCTCCAGTTTCAAAGGTAAAGGATATGAAAAATCACCTTTTCATGTTCTTGAAGCTGTGTCTGTTTCATGACTACTTCTGCCTTGAGCTCCTGCAGCTGTTGACCCAGTCTGTCCAGCTTCTGTTGTCTCCTCTTGATCTTCTCCTCTTTCTCCTGCAGTTCAGCCTTTTGCTCCTTCTGTTGCTTCTCTAGCTCTTCCCGCTGCCTTCTCGCAGCCTTCACCTCCTAAACACAAACAAGAGAAACACTTTTCATGCCATGGGACAGTAAACCCCACTAGATATGCAGTGTTTTGCTGCAAACTCACCTCTCTGATCTCATCTAAACGAGTTTGAGATTCCACCAGCTGTTTCTTCAATCTGCTCAACTCCTCTGTGGGTAAAACCAAGCATTTCAGTGTGTTTATTAAAATAAACACATAAGAGCTGATGTCAAAGTAAGGCTGTTGAGCGGATACCCTCATGCTGCTGCTGCTCCTGATGTTTATCGTGTGCGTGTTTCTGGTCCTGTTGTAGTTTGTCCAGCTCAGTCCGTAGTCTAAGCAGCTCTGTTTCTGCGGTCCTCGCCCTCGTCTCTGTTGCTTCCAAACACCTGAAACCACAGCAATATAATCCATTTAAGCTACACCATAAACATGAAATCCATCAAGTCTAGATCATTCTAGAAGATTTAAACTATATATATATTTTTTTAAACTGAAGAACAGTTGGAATGAAGTAGTGCTAGCAATAGCCTCAAAAAAGAGTCAGAGGTTGTGTACAAAATCTCTCCATATGCCCTCATTCAGTAGCACTAATTTGGACACACAGTGCACCAGAAAGGCTGTCCCTTTTGCCCCTACCATAAATCTGTCATAGAAACTAGCTTGTATAAACCATTTAAATTAAAATAAATTAAACAATTGAATAATTAAGACCCAGGAATTCATTTTGCATGGCCCTCACAGTGTATTATGGGTATTCTCTAGCCATTTAGTGTACATTGGTCATACACTCAGTGGCTACTTTGGTTTTAGACACCACTACAAAATGGTTGTCCCCTCAGAAAGTGTATTTAAACATGTCAAGTCCAGATTTCATATATTTATGATAAAAAGGAAAAACATTCTGAAGTTTCAATTTTGTATTCTTGATGCTTTATTGCCACATTTTTGCTCATCCAGGATGTTTCTCTCCCCTAGGCTGAGACATAATAATAATAATAATAAAATGCAGGTAGGCATGGATGAATGATTTTTTTGGTCATAATAATAATAACAGAACCAACATTCAAGTATTGACGGAGCAGTCTTTTCAATATGATTCAAACATCTCGAAAGATTGTTCAGACAATGCCGAAGAAATGTGAGGAAATGTTTGAAATGTTCTATACATTACCTCTGTGCATGTGTCCGCCTGGCCTCCAGGTTTCTGCACTGTTCCTGCAGGCTGCTCCTCTCTTGGACTGCTGTGTCTGTTTGCTGTTGCGGGTCGAGGCACTTCTGTTGGAGGGTGTGCAGCTCTACTCTCTCTTTCTCCAGCAGGTTCATCTGTCTCTCAGCCTCCCCACGCTGCTCCTGTAGCTCCTGCTGCACGCGCTGCAGTTCTACACGCACCTGAGCAGCAGGCACTCGAAGGTTAACTTCACATCTTACTCCAGTCTCAGCACAGACAGTACAGGTGAAGGTAAAATATTTAGAACTGACCTGTAGCAGAGTTTCCTGGCTCCTCTCTAGCTGGTCCAGTTTCTGGCTCTGCTGAAGCTTCACACCCTCTAATTCCCCTGTCTCCAACTGGACCATTTCCAACACATGCTTCAGCTCTAAACACACACAAATTCCACACAGCTGAACACAAATTAGGAGAACCACGATATTTCCAAAACTGATACTATTTGCGGATTTTTCCACTCTGTCAACTTACAAAACCAAGTTTGAACAGCCTGTTCAAAAAAAGTCATGTCATCTGTTTAACACTTTTTCCTGCAGTAGTTTTTCATTTTTACTTGGTCTGACAACATTTTCACTGGACCCACCACAAAAGATTATTTGTTTTATATTTACAATATATTTTAGATTTGCTAGAAATATTTATAGTTTTATTTACATTTTTTCTTTACAAAAAGAAAACGTTATTTAAAAATAAAGATGAAAATTACAGAATGTACAGTTAAAATGCAACTATAAATTCATAAACTTTTTACTTAGTTCGTAGTCTTTAGCACATCTTACTGGTACTTTTAAAACTGTAAACTGTTTTTATATAAGCTCATTTCTGTTATCTAGCTAGACAACATTACTTTATTGTTGCAAGTCTGCTTGCATCGTCACCAATGTGAATGTGCCACAGAAAACTAGACCAAAATGAGCAACTAATAGATGTACACGATCAATAAATGTCAAACCTTTAGTAGCAACAAAGGATTGGCCCTCAGGGGAAAGTGACTATTCCCTCAACTGACCAGAAACCCTCTCATGAGGGCCACTGCTAATTTTTGAGCCCTGTAATGGAACCGCAACAGTAAAGAGGTTTCCTTTCTACCTTTCGTCTTCCACTCACACCATTGGTTGAGCCAAATGTCGAACTGGCCACTCTGTTGTAACAGACCTGCTTTATGTTTTTTGATGGCTGAATGGAGGTTCTGCAGGGTTTCCTCCTCCTTCTGCTGCTCTTTCTTATACTGTGCCAGTCTGTTTTTCTTCTCGGACAGCTGAGAGTCCAGCTCTCCCTTCTGCACGGCCAGAGACTGCACATCCACACGGAGCTCCTACACATATCCAGACTGTTCATCAAAAGTACTTCCTAGATATTTAAACAATGCACTCATATTTTGTGCATGTGAAAAACCTGAATGCGCTGGTGTAAGAGTTGGGCATCCTCCTCTCCCTGTCTGAGCACATCCAACAGGCCCTGCCTGTGTTTCTCCACACTAATTCTCAACACTTCCTCTTCCTTCTTCCACTGCTCCAGCTTCCTGTCCAGCAAAGACAGCTCCTCCTGCTGCAACACCACCTGTACCCCACACAAGAAACCCACAAAGTCTTTATAGCTACACACTATCTAAAAAGTTTGGAGTTGATTTAAAAAAAAAAAAAGCTTTTTTATGCTCACAATGGCTGCATTTATTTGATCACATAAAAAGCAATATGTGAAATAATTCTAATATGCTGATTTGAGGCTCAAGAAACATTTATTATTATTATTATTAATTTTGTAAACAGTTGTGCTGCTTAATATTTTTGTGGAAACTGTCAGATTTTTTAAAGCTTTTTTTCACCAAAGTAATTTGTTGCATTATAAATGTATTTATAATCTATTTAATCAGTCTTTGCCGAATAAAAGTATCAATTTCTTAATTGTTACTTGAGCGCTGACTTGGTCCAGCTCTGTTTTGTGTCGTGATAGACATTCTTCTGTCTCTCTGCAGCTCTGCAAGAGTTTCACCTCCAGGCTCTGGGTCTCTCTGAGCTCTTTCTCAGCTGTTTCCAGTCTATATAGAAGAGACAGACAGTTCAGTGGAGAGACATTTCCTGCAGTTAGAGATTTACAGAAATGAGAGTTGTCACACCTGTCAGTCGCTCTCTCCAACCTTCTGTTGACTTCTTGAAACTTTGCATCTTGACATGCGAGGACCTCCTCTACTTCGTGTAGAGTGTGTTCTTGGTCCTGTTTCCTTTTCTGCAGCTCCTTAACCTCCTCTTGAAGATTCCTGCAGCAGCACATTTACAAGTCTCAATTTTCACTATTAGCAATTCTCTAGCTCAAACAAAACTTGATGCACACTCACAGAAAAGCCTAAAAAGCTGCTGTCATGCTTCATTTAAAAGTAGACAATTTGTAGGTTGATTTTCCCAAAAAGTGGTCCCTTCAATACTGTGCTAACTTTTTAATCTGAACAATGGAAGACGGAAAATTGTTTGGTAAACAATTCTGTTTGGTGCCAATAATGGCATAAACGTAAATTACACGCAGCTTTATGGATTCAGATTGAGAAATGTGTTGTCGTTGTGTTTACCTGAGCTGTTGTTTGGTTTGCACCAGCTGTGTGGCACCGTCTTGAGCTCTCTGTTCCATCTCCACCAGCTCTCGTTCTGTCTCTTTCACTCGCCTTCTAGCCTCATTGTAGCGCTGTACGCTTTCTTTAGTCTGCAAACACACATGCATTACATCATTAGCATCTTCTTATAAGACGTCGATGTATATATTTAGGAAACAGTATTCACTCTACTCTTTTAAATAAGTAGTTGTTTACACTACAAGCTAGTAACAAAGAGTAGATCATTACAATGAAGCAATATAATGTGGCTGTAATATTGTGAAATATTATTACAATTTACAATAACTAATTTCTATTTTAATATAGTTGAAATCTTTTCTTTCTGTGATGGCAAAGCTGAATTTCCAGCAACAATTACTTGTCAGCAGTCTTTGGTGTCACATGATCCTTTAGAAATCATTCTAATATGTGGATTTGGTGCTCAAGAAACATTTCTTCTCATTATCAATGTAGAAAACAATTGTAATTGTATTTGCATGGTATATATATATATTTTTACATTCTTACTGACCCTGAACTTTTGAATGGTAGTGCATAAACTAATATAAATATAGACTTATATAAATATAGACAAAAATAATTAAAAGCCTTAATTTATATCCACCTTATATTTCCCGTAAGAGCAGGTGCGGCCATTTGTAAATTTAATGTGTCTGGCTTCCGGTGTCATCCGCTTTCAGCTATTTTTAGCTGCACAAAATATTGCAAACTGGTGTGTCTTCCCATATTATTTTAATGTATTATCTTAATTATGAACACACTGGTTTGTAGTGCAAACAGTTTTACAGTTTACTGCACTTTGTTATTCTTCTCATTATTTCCCTAC